TTCTTAAAAGAATTATGTTAGTCAAAATAATTTTATATAATTCAACATTAATTCGTTTTTAAATCAATAAACACAATTTGGGGCCCAATTATACGTAAAAAAAATTGGAAAAAAAATCGAAAATAGGAATCGAACTTAGTTCGTAGCGTGATATTTTCGTATTCAAATGCTCGCGCTACACTGCCTTAATGGTGAATGGTGCAAAGTTACTGATACATAAGGAATGCTGTATTTATTAAATAAATGTTCTCAAAAACGGTTGAGCGTTTCATCTTTTTGCTACACTGCAGTATTCCTCTAATAAAGTATTATACTATAAAAAAAGCTAATTAAATTTATATATATATACAGGGTGTCCTACACCACCCGTACACCCCTTTTCTTTCAAAATCTAAGCATTTTAGAGAAAAACGTTTTCGACAAAAATTTGATAGTTTTGAGGGAAACATAAGATGGTGTCATTGGTTTGACCTTGGATGGCATTGTTAAGGTCAGGTCAAGGACACCTTTAATTTCTTAAATGGAATTACCTATTTTTATTGCATATTCTTATAGCTTATGTCGAGAGCTTTCCAAAACACATTGAATACTTTTCGATTTATAAGGTTTAAAGTAATATCTTAATTTTACATAAACTATAAAATATTTAGTAAAATATTTATTTCTCGATTATCTTACCTTAATACTTTTATGTACAAAATAATGAGAGGAATCAATTGGTCTAAAAAAAACACATAATTGTTCCGAAGAAAAAATATGTAATTTGCAATTAACAATTACATATTTTTTCTTAAAAACAACTGTGTGATTTTTTTTACACTATTTAATTCCTCTCATTATTTTGTACATAAAAAGTATTAAGGTAAGATAATCGAGAAATAAATATTTTACTAGATATTTTATAGTTTATGTAAAATTAATATTTTATTTTAAGTTTTATAAATCGAAAAGTACTCAATGAAAAAATACTTTATTATAGTGTTTTGGAAAGCTCTCGACATAAGCTATAAGAATATGCAATAAAAAATAGGTGATTCCATTTAAGAAATTAAAGATGTCCTTGACCTGACCTTAACGATGCCATCCGAGGTCAAACCAATGACACCATCTTATGTTCCCCTCAAAATCATATAATTTTTGTCAAAAACGTTTTTTTCTAAAATGCTTAGTTTTTGAATGAAAAGAGGTGTACGGTTTCTAATGACATATTGATTTGTAGTTATCCGTTATTTTTGCAATAAGAGTAGCAAAGAAGTTTGAAGGATCTGAATATCTATATAGTAAGCAAAGAGGACCGTCTAATTTTAATGAAATATGACGGGGGTGATGGCGGGTTCTTTGCTTATTTATTTAGAGATGTTTAACATATAGTACAAAAAAGAGTGATATCCCTAAAAAATTACCCTTTTAAAAAAAAGGTAAATAAAGGTGCTAAGTCCGCGTAAAAAACAGTATATGTATTTGCAAAATGGTGTATTATTAACTGTAAAAAACTACTGTATTGTATATCCTACAAAAATAATGATATCAAAAAAGTTGCGCTAAGTGAAAATAAAAGTTTATAAAAATACTTTAACCAAAAAAAGTTATACAAAATAGCTGATTTAATTTTCTACATTATATCCTAGAAAAATAATGATATCCAAAAATTACGCTAATTGAAAATAAAAACTTAAAATAATTTAACTAAAAAAAATTGTACAAAATAATTGTTTTAATTTCATACAAATAATATTAAAAAGTTGCGCCAATTGAATAAAAATTTTTACTATAAAATAGACATATTTCTTTTTTATTTTCAATATTAAAAGAAAAATGATATTAAATGAATTGTAATATATCTATTATAAAAAATCGAATTGAAAATATGAACAATCATATACATTGCAATAATCATATGCATATATCCTGAAAAGTTTAATTAAAAAAAAGAAGAAAATGATAATACAAAATACAAAATTAAAAATTAGAAATTAATAAATAAAAAATAAAAATTTATATAAAAATTAAAAATTAATACATATAAAAAAATTTTAGTTAAAAAACTTAGCGCTGCTACGCTGAACAATGTGCTAATGAAATTAGCAGCGCTAAGTTTTTTAACTAAAATTTTTTTATATGTATTAATTTTTAATTTTTATATAAATTTTTATTTTTTATTTATTAATTTCTAATTTTTAATTTTGTATTTTGTATTATCATTTTCTTCTTTTTTTAATTAAACTTTTCAGGATATATGCATATGATTATTGCAATGTATATGATTGTTCATATTTTCAATTCGATTTTTTATAATAGATATATTACAATTCATTTAATATCATTTTTCTTTTAATATTGAAAATAAAAAAGAAATATGTCTATTTTATAGTAAAAATTTTTATTCAGTTGGCGCAACTTTTTAATATTATTTGTATGAAATTAAAACAATTATTTTGTACAATTTTTTTTAGTTAAATTATTTTAAGTTTTTATTTTCAATTAGCGTAATTTTTGGATATCATTATTTTTCTAGGATATAATGTAGAAAATTAAATCAGCTATTTTGTATAACTTTTTTTGGTTAAAGTATTTTTATAAGCTTTTATTTTCACTTAGCGCAACTTTTTTGATATCATTATTTTTGTAGGATATACAATACAGTAGTTTTTTACAGTTAATAATACACCATTTTGCAAATACATATACTGTTTTTTACGCGGACTTAGCACCTTTTTTTACCTTTTTTTTAAAAGGGTAATTTTTTAGGGATTTCTTTTACCTGATTGGTCAATCTAATGAGATTGACCAATCACCAGAGCGCCTCTCGGACCGCAGCCATATTATCGAACAGACCTTATAACGATACGACGAAAAAGCTAGTGAGATTAGGTTAAGGGCCGTAGCACATAGCATATCGTAATGGTCTTAAAAGTCTTAAGCCTATCGCACACAAAATTGCATAGCTTGCATGTGCATAGCATAAGACGATATGGACCAATGAGCATCGAGTATTATGTTATGTAAGTCAATATGGCGACTTAATACTCGATGCTCATTGGTCCATATGGTCTTATGCTATGCACATGCAGCTATGCAATTTCGTGTGCGATAGCCCTAAGGGCCTATCCAGACAAATGCACCTATGCAAGTTTGTCTGGATAGGCCCTTAGACTTAAGGTGAAAGCACATAAAATTGCATAGGCGCATAACCATAAGCATAAAGAAATTGATTGGTTCACAAATATATGCATAAGAAAATGAACCAATCAATTTTCTTACGCTTATGGTTATGTGTTCCTGCAATTTTATGTGCTTCCACCTTAAGAAGTACTTTTAATTTAACAGACCACCACCATTATAGATACGACTAATTTCACTAGCCATTATAAAATACGCAAGGAAGTGTACAAAACATTAGTAATAATTAAAGATATTGCAAAAGTCTCACAACTTCTAGAAGTATTGTATAAAGCATAGGTGATGCAGCAATTTATGTCTTCTATTGTAGGAAGTTTTGTAATTTTTTGTCTTCTACATTGAGTTCGCGAGATTCGATTACAATCTTATTAACACTTACTCCATAATCAGCAATGAACAGTTTTTAAGTATTAATACTCAACAATTTAATTGATGAATGCAATGATAAGTATTAAAATAATATAAATATAAAAATCATAGAGAATATGTACAGAATATATATAAATAGAATAGTATATGCAGGGTATATATAATGTATATAATGTATATAGGGTTCTTTTTACAGCTACTAATAGAACAACTATATATAATTATTTATAAATTTGTAAAAGAAATGTGTATTAATATCAATAAGATAGAGAATATGGTAAAGGTACAATTCAATGCATTTTGCATGTATTGTACTATTTTTTTGTTTATTTGCTTCAGATACCATGTACTTTTATTGTTAGATTAATACGACTTTTTTTCATTGTAAGGAGAAAGAATCCTTAATTCTATATATACATATTAGTTTCATTATTTTATTAAAATATGAAATCAATTTGCAACATATACTTTATCATATATTCTTTTAAATAAACGTGACATGTAATTCTAATATGAAAGGAGAACAAAACCTTTAGGTATTTTTACTTTGCATCATTAAATAATATTACATACGATTATAATATAAAAATAAACATAAAAATAGTACATCTTATACATTTTCTCCTTATTATGTAGCTAAAAAAACTTCTTATTACGTACCTGAAAAATATAATTAATGAAAGAAAACGGATACTTAAGTCGTATATAAAATTCTTTTATAAAATAAATGTTCACAAGTTGGTGTCTATATTATGTATCTATATTAATATATCTATATCACAGTACTTTCTTTTATTCATGTATTTAACATAAAATAAAAATAAAAATATTTTGTTATAAAAGTTCAGTCTGTAATCTCATGCAATGTTTAAACTTAAAACAACGAACATAAAAAATGTAATTGTTGCACAATAATTATCACATTATAAAAATCAAATATATCTAATTACTTTTTTAATTAAAATTTAAATGAAACTTTCAATATTCATTTCGTGCAATATTTAAACAAAATAGCAAATATAAAAATTATATAATTATAAAACTATATAATTATCACATTATGGAAAATCAAGCAAATATTATTAAAGTTTTCATATTCATTTTGTGCAACATTTTAACAAAACAACAAACCTAAAATTTATAAATATCACATTTATAATTATCACAATTAATAAAGTTCAAATTATAAAGTTTCAATGTTGCACATTAAATTATTTCTTCAAATATAAAAAAATATTAATAGTTTTTGTAATAAATGACTTTAAAAATTTAATTTTTTCTTTTGTGTATGTAGCCATATTCTCATTTGTGGAACTGATCGTTTAGCCAGACATGGAGTATTAGATATAAGATTCTGCATTTCTTTTCCAGTTATTAATGTATTAGTCTGTAATTGTTTTTTAAATGCTTCTAATACAACATTTTTCTCTTCTTGTGTCCACTGTGTTCGTTTAACAGGCGTTGCAAATGCATCTGCATATAAAGAAAATTAGGAGCATTTTCACAGATACATAAATAAATCTTTTTTATTTTGTGATTATTTAATATTATAAATAACGTTATTAACTTATTGATCGAATGTACACTGTAAATTAGATCCTTACCTCCTGATCTACGTTTTTTTTGTACCGCTTTCACTTCATTTTTTGTACGTTTTTTATACATTGGACTTGAAAATGAGCCTACATTAGAAACATAGAAACATAGAAACATGTTAAAATGATAAAGAAGTAATCTATATATTTAGAAAATAAATTTTTTACTCACTATCACTTGATTGTTGTAAATAACTAATTTTGTTAAATATTTCATTATTCTCTGTAATTTCTGTGTTTATATTACTTTCATCCTCATCGCTGTCGCTTTCATCAATTAAATTGTTTGCTTTATCCCTCACGCCTTGTGCAGCTTCTAGCAGTTGTGAGACTTCTGTAATATCTTTAACTATTACTGGTTTTCTGTACACTTCTTTGTGTATTTTTTCATGGTGACCCATAAAATTGGCCAAATCTGTAATCTGATGATCTGTTAAATTAAGAGTAATTCCCATAGTGGCTATATGTTTTTTGAGTGTAGTGCCACGTAATGTTTCAGGAAATTCAGTTCCACTCTCTTTAGCAAAACGCAACATGGCTCGATATGCATTTAAATGTTTATCAATAACTTTGTCATGTCCTGGAATACCAAATAAGTAAGGATTTTTCACGTGCACTTTGGCTTTATTTCTTAATTGTAAAAACATTTGTGCACATTCTAAATTAAGTTCATCTAATATTATAGGAACAGTTCTTCCTAACTTTCCGCGTATACAAAATCGTACATATTTTTGTGCCTGTTCTATTTTTTCCTTAGATAAGCCACTGAATGTATTAATATTTTCATTAATTCTATCGTAGCTTTTGAAATCAGAAATTAATATCCGTTCAGTTTCTCCTGGCCGACGACGGTTAAATAATTGTATTGATGTTAAAGTAGCTTCACCAAGAGAAATCCAATCAGATAATAAAAACTTGTTTTTTAAATTATTGTATGATTTCTTTTGAATTTTTAATAAATGATTCCGCAATTTTTTTATATCCTCCATTGTAGGAAGTTTAGTAATTTTTTGTCTTTTAAATTGAGTTTGAGATTCAACTACAGTTTTGTTAACGCTTGCTCCATAATCAACAGTTAACAGTTTTAAAAAATTTTTCACATTTGTTTTCGTGTTATCGTCATGTTCCTTTATGCATCTGGTTATTAAAAGTTCACCAATATACTTTACGTATGTATCAAGATTAGACGCAATGGCAGGCTTTTCATAAGTATCTTTTTCTTTGTTATATTGTGCAACAATATTTATGGCATCTAAAAAAGTATCATAATATTTTGGATCATAAATAGAAGTTAAAGACGTTATATCATTGTTAATATTTCTCATCGTTATCAATAGCCGACTTACGAGCCGTAATCGAGCTCGAATCATTTGTAAATGATGCGATGAATGCCTATATTTTTTGCTCTGGGAATTTGCATATAATATCAACAAACTATCGTAACGAATATTGCGTGTTACGTCATCATTTCTCATTGCTGGTAATACTAATCGCCGTACTCTCTCATCAGCATCTTTGAGACATTTGCCTTCTAATTTCCGGCCCATTACTTTAACGATGCGACTATTCTTTCCTGTCCGACCTGTACATTTTTTAAAATGATGTCGTATTGTCGATTTTAAATAATGGCCCTTGCAATTCCCACATGCCAGATAATTTTTAAGAACTTTAGGATGATTTTCTCTTGCCCGTCTGCAAGGAATAAAACCTTGTCCTTCATATTGTTTTTCAATATTAAATATGAAATTTCCTTTTTTTCTTAAAATATCGATGATATTTCTTCTTTCTCTACAACCTTTAGGTAAATATTTGAACTTTTGAACATCAGGTTCGTTAGAATGAACTAATTCGAAATGTCGAGCAATTTTTGTTTGCAATTTGTTATAAAACACACACATATATTTTTTTATGCCAATAAGTTTTGTAGGTATTACTGTTTGCTCATCTTGCCGAGTTTCACATTCCTTAGAATTACTAACATCCATGCCTGTAGATATTGTTGAATCATTTTGTGCGTTAGAAAAGTTGTTTTTGATGTCATTTCCATGTTCTGATTTCTCTGTGTCTTCAGAATCACTCGCAGTTAATGAATATTCCCTTTCTACATAATCAGAATCATTTTCAATATCTGTCTCTATTTACAAAAACATTAAATAATAAGTTTAAACATTAGAATATAATTAAAATTAAGTAACAGCATATAATATGGCTCTAATACCTTGTACTTTTGTATCAGTATCTTGCGCAAAGCACAAATTAACATTGTTTGTTTCAATTTCTTGAAATTTGCAGGAAGTTGAAGGAGACTGTTTCTCGTTATTATTATCTAGTGAAATTGAATTAAAACATACATCTATAACATAATAATAATAAAATAATGTGTATTAAATATCTAATTAATGATTAACAATAATAGTAATTAAATAATTTATAGAAAAATAATAGCAAATATAAAACTTAATAGTTTTATGTACAATTTATACAAAATAAAGACAATTACCTGTATTAAATGAATTAGAAAATTGACTAGAATTCATAAAGCTGCAATCAATTATCTCTTTCTTAAGCATATCGGTTATTATTGGCGAAATATTTAAATCATTAATGATGTCATTGCTTGCATTTCTTATGTCATTTTTAACAAAATCGTTAATATTAGACATATCTGTGTTTCTATGTAAAGAGTAATTATTATCTGAAATAAAAGAAGATATAATAAATATATTATTTTAAGTGAATATATATATATATATATGTGTATTTTACATATTAATATTGTAATTAAATAAAAATGATGATAAACAATGCAGATTAGTATTCTTTACACATTAATAAAATCAAATTTATAACATAGATAAAATTGTAAGCTAAATTCGATGTTAGCATAAAATAAATTCATTTGCATTTAATTTTTTGTTAAAATGTGTAGATTAATATTAATAATTCTTATAATAATTCTTATATATAGCCTTTATATGTACAAGTATCTTATATACAAACCCTTAGGATCATCAATGCATGATTGATTTCGTATAATGTATTTAGTATTTACCGTATCGATATTAGTAATTTTACATCTAAAAATAAAGATGTTTAATGTATATTGGTATGCAAAAATACAAAAATACAAAATTACCATTTCAAAAATACTCACTTATTTGTTACAACTGTAGTTACTGAATCTAATTTTTTTTCTTGATAATTACCTGTAATGAATAACATATTTCACTATGTAAATTGAAGTATGTATGCTTTATATACAAAACACTATTTAAAAAATTGCATACATGATTAAATTAACATGTATTTTTATCATGCAATTAAAAATTAAAAGAGTTAAAAGATTACTTTACCTTCATTAACGATTATTTTTGATATTTCAGATATGGAAATATCTGATCCAGTTATATTTTCAAAACTAGTCAGGTCTGTAGAAATGTTTGAATTCTCTAAAAATTATTTAAAATCATCATAAATATAATATACATATGTAAATAAATATCATTTGGATAATTATATAATTAATAAAACCTAATAATAAATACAAATAAATACAAGCTAACATTGTAATATGTTATTATGATGTTATAATTTTTCACTTAACAATATAACTGTTATGTGCAAGATATATTACATTACAATTACATTATTTAGTGGAAAATTATAACATTAATGTTTTGTTTATTGGGACGTTTAACTTTATTTTTACTTAATTTTACCTTCTTTCGAAACAATCATATTCTCCTCCTGTAATAAAGTTTTATCTTCACATGAATCTTTCTCATTTTTCATGCTTTGTTTGTTTATCGAAAACTTAGCTGTGAAAAAGATTATTATAATCATTATAATTCATTCACATCAACAATCGCTTTCAATGTTTGACATACCCAGATAGCCAAATGCAATGAGGTTGCTGTCAGGTTGCCAATAATTGTTAAAGCAACTAATTTTAACAAACTAGAGACAAGGTGAGACAGCATTATGTCTGTTACGTTGAACTCACATGAATTCATGTGCTAATAACAACAAATTAATTGCAACGTGTCAGCATATTGCTGACATGTTGTAGACATTATTGTAATATCAATATTGCAGACCATTTGCTTCCTTAATTGATTGCATGTAGAAGCAGACATATAGCTGCATTCGTAACGCATTCTATCTCGATGTCAGCAAGTATACTGCAAATATATAATAATACATGCGATGCATTTGTTTGCTAAATATGTCATATCAAGCTTGGCTATCTGGATATATACACATTTCACTACTTTTTATATATACATATATCAAAATAAAAAAATTGTCAACAACATTTACCATTATTTGTAACTGTTCGTTGTGACTTCAATATTTTCTTCTTCATTGTGCATTTTGTACCGCGTTAATACAATTCGCGGTATCATACCTTGAAATGATAAAAACACAACAATAGATTTCTATGTTCTCTGATAAATTTATATAATGTACAATATACGAAACACACGTACACACAAAATCTTTTTATTCATTTTACAAATAAAATGTTTTAAATAAAAATAAATAAAATGCAACATAACCTAACATAATTTCCGGATACTTACTGGCTGATGCCATGATATTTTTTTGCTCTTTTTTCGCATTTCGTGTCCTTAATGAATACATTTTAATTCATCAAAAGATTTACTTGTATAGCTATTCGACTATCATTGATACAAACTTATTCCGCGACTAATTCTATAAAAATATAAAATTACTTATACCAAAACCCGATCTACAATGAGTCACTTTGTTAAACATAAGCAAAGCTGTGTTCCGAAATTCACTGTAAGTACTAAAAATTATTTATAATACACGTGTTAGTATATTATAGATTTTTAGTACTGGCATGAATTTCGGAAGCCCAAAATTAACTATGATCAATTATTCTAAGAATATTCAACATATTTATATTTGTTTTGATATTGATATTTTTTAAATAGTAATATACAGGGTGTCCCATTATAAAACATCCAGTCGAATATCTCGAAAACCAAACCCAGGAGAGAAAAATGTTTCAGACAAAAGTTGTTTGGTTTCGAGGAGGCCATAAGATGGTACCATTGGTTTGACCTTGAAGAATCATTTGAACGTCACGTGAAGGTCACCTCAATCTTTTCAAATGGCACCTTCTATTTTTTATTACATATTCTTGTAGCTGACCTCGAAAGCTTTCCAAAACGCTATAATAAAATATTTTTTTCATAGAGTACTTTTCGAGTTATGAGGCTGGAAATCATTTCTTAATTTTACATAAACCATAATATATCTAGTAAAATATTCATTTTTCGATTATCTTAGCTTACTACTTTTATGCACAAAATAATGAGAGGAATCAATTGGT